GTGTGTGTGTGTGTGTGTGTGTGTGTGTGTGTGTGTGTGTGTGTGTGTGTGTGTGTGTGTGCGAGTGAGAGAGAGAGAGAGAGAGAGAGAGAGAGAGAGCGTGTGTGTGTGTGAGAGAGAGGAGGGAGACGTGTGCGTGCGTGCGTGCGTGTGTGTGCGTGCATGTGTGTGCGCGTGTGCGCGTGCGCGCGGGAGCGGGCGATAATCGATAGCGACAGGACATCCAGCCAGCCATGCATCCCACGCACATTTTAGCTCTATTTCTGCCAATAATATGTTGTGATACGTAAGACTCGTGACTACCTACCGACATTAAAACTTACCGGGTCCAGGTAGCATGTTGCTGCCTCTGGCGGGATGCCACCGCTGCGTTCCTGAAGCAAACGCCGCGCTGGGAACATTCTAGAGAACGGCAGAACAACGACAAATGAGAACACGTTCACACGTTCCACAGCTGCCTACTATACGAATCCATCTCTTCTATGCACCATAGAGGGGTATCAGCGATCAGCCTGCATACTCCCCACGTATACTAGTCTATACTCACTCGTTTGACTCTCTACAAATATGATGAGTATCCCAATTAAATTTATTTATTTATTACGTTCGACTTTTCGCCGGTCGAGATGTTTATAGTATCCGTTTTTTTTTTATAGGTTTTCCAGCAATATGCTGTATGGTCACAGCTAGTTTGTCTGAGGATTTGGCTAGAAATCGCATAAGAGTCGTGGAATACTGCGATCCATCTAGTCTATAGGTAAACCTCTGCTAATGCAGAAGACATTTGAAACTTGGTTGCTATGGCAGCAATTAGAAATGGGTGTTGTGGAGACATTAAAATGAGTTAGCCAAGTCAAGATTGAGTGGAAATAAGAAAAATATTGTCGAAACGACTACGAGAAATATGTCTCCAATTTACGTTTGATCGTGTTTATACAGAACTACGTTCCAAATGCAAATTTCGGATGGGTATAGTTATATAGCGCCAAATTATTTCAGATTATTTCTGTAATCATCCAAATCATTCTAATTATATAACAGTTAAAAATCTAAATCATAAAAATGTTAGCAAATAATTCATCGCTGTATCGCAGACTGAAAAAAAGCACATTTGCACAAAAACTCCTTCGGCGGCTGTACGAATACGTTTTGTGTGCAAGTGCGCCAGCAATCTTCCGCTTTTTATCGGCTATAGCCACGCACAAAAGAAAATACGCGCGTCGGTTGTCATGGAAACCGAATTTCACACGGAGTTACTAAAATCGTTCAAAATTACGCAAAAAATAAACAAGTTATACTGTTTAAGGCAGTGCAAGCAAAACAACAATCGTTACTGATCGTTCGGTTGCGACACTCCCTCCCCGGAGATAACGAAATCCACGTACCTCGTGTGTTTTATCATTTGTTTACATCAACTAGCATATTCAGTACCAACCATGATACAGCGCGTGCACACGCACGTACGATACCAATTTTTTTCTTATATTTTCAAACCATAGAAAAAATAAACAAGGTAGGTCTATATGTATATACAAATACAATATAGTATAATGTAGCCTAGATCGTCTTATAAAATAGCTCCATAGCTCATATGTGCATTTCTATAAAATAAACAACGAAAGTAAAGTAGGGTTAGGGTATACAGCGCCTGTTAACATATTGGCGTCGGTTACAGACTTACTTTTCTTTATTACACGTTACTTTTCTTGGTTCTCACCTGTTTGCTGCCTGCGATGTAACTGGGGATGTTGTACGTGCAAGGCCCAGGTGCGACGGAGGTGACGATCAATGGAACAGCAGTAGATGACAACGCGTGACATACGAGAGCGCGCTTGCTGAAAGTCATAATATTGTGTGTGGGCGTGTGTGCAAGAACACGATGAGCCAGCAAGACGCACAAGGTTGCGTTGTGTTTCGTATGCAAAAATATAATCAATATAATATAATAGAATAGAATCAAGGTGTACGTATACAATAGAATTTTATACTAAAATAATAATAATACAACTATAATAAATGTGTCTATACTATAATTATATGGCAGTCGATGCTATGGCATTGCAATGCATATAATCTATTATTATTATTAAATATATATATTATTATTATTTTTCACTAATAAAATTATTGAAAAATAGCTACTCTGAAAGTATTCACAATACCCACTGATATGCGGGTACAGGCAATACCCCCATATATATATATATATATATAAATATACTGTATACATATACATATACAATATATAGGATATATATATATATATATCAGGAGTAAATAATCTCAATAATTTGATTCTTCGCAAAATAATAATGGTTGAATATTTTAATGCTGCAAATATATATATATATAGACTAAGAACGTGGACATAAATTATTGTCAACAACAGCTGCTATCACGATGCGTACAGATTCACTCGCTGGCTAACAACATGCAAATACACTTACGTTTCATGTGATTTCTGCTTGCCCATCTCCCAGGATTCGTACGGATTATAGTGATTGGAACCAGGATTCTGAATAAAAATAGATTTCGCCAATGTATTTGATTCTAGATAAACCAACAGTCATTGCTGAAGCTTAACGCGTTCTCCCACATCAGCATCATTGCAACGGTAACCCTTAGCTCGACGGATGGGCATTCACATTTACTGATCCGATATTAATTGAAATCAAAATGGCGTCGGTATTTGTTTGACAGTTCTAAGACTGTGTGAAAACCATGAGATTGCCCGAGATAGAATCAATCACAAGTCACTCGGCTTCACGAGGACACGGAATCACGAAGATTTAATGTTCACGGACCAAGCACAGCTCTCAAGTACGCGCTGGACAGGTTGTCATTTACCGATAAATTCTCAGCAAGCGTGAATTATATATATATATATATACAGACTCGCGTCACGGCCAACTGTATTGTCTACATTAGTAGCAGCAGCGCTCACTGCCACAGTCACACAGTCACATGCTGAATCACGACACACGCACGCACGCATGCACGCACACACGCATGCACGCATGCACACACACACACGCATGCACGCACACACGCATGCACATTGATAAGAGAGACCGCGCGCGCGGGAAAGAGAGAG